GCCATTCCTGAGATAAATTTTAAAAAACCTAAATAAATGGAGAGTATATACCATGTTCACTAATGAAACACTGAATAATAAGATTTTAACTCTTACCAACAAAACCCTAAAAGACCTTTTTTTATAGAAACTGGTAAGTAGATTCTAAAATTCAAATGAAAATTCAGAGGACTCAGAATAGCCAATAGTTTTAATGATCCCAGCTACTTAGGAGGCACAGGCAGGAGGAGGTCAAGGTCAGTCCAGGGAAAGGTAGTACAAGACCCTGTCTCAAAAATAAATGAAGAAGAAGAAAAAAAAAAGGTTGAAGATTTAGCTCAAGTGGTAGAGTACTTGCCTAGCATGCACAAGGCCCAGAATTCAATCCCCGGTACTGCAAAGTAGCTTTGAAATACAAAGTTGAAAGACTTATGCTGTTTGATCTTATTACAAAGCTACAGCATCAAGACAGTGAAATATAGTGGATATCTATATTTTTAAAAATCTTTACATTCATACTTCTACCGTATACAAAAGTTAACTCAAAATGAATCACAAACTTAAGTGTAAATCTTTGGTTTTTCTGGCATTCTGAAGTTTGAACTCAGGACCTTACACCTGCTGGGCACCTAACACTTGAGCCACATCCCCAGCCATTTTTTGCTTAGCTATTTTTCAGATTGGGTCTTGTATTTTTGCCCAGGGTCAGCCTTAAATGGTGATCCTCTTACCTATACCATCTGCATAGCACACCACAAGTGAGATGGTGTCTCACTAACTTTTTACCCAAGCTGGCCTTAAACCATGATCCTCCTGATCTCCATCTCCCAAGTAGTTGTGATTACAGATATAGTCACTGCACCTAGCTTACATGTAAATCTTAAACCACAAAACAGAAAACTTCTGGAAGAAAACAAAAGAGGAAATCTTTGAGACAAGAATTTCTTAGAAATAATATCAAAAGCAAGATTTATATACCATAAAGTGGATAAATTGATCTTCACCAAGATTTAAAACTTCTGATGTTCAAAAGAAACAACAGGCCGAGCACAGTGGCTCAAGCTTATATTCCTATCTACTCAGGAGTCAGAAATCAGAAGGATTGAGGTTCAAGGCCAGCCCAAACAAAAAGTTCATCTCAACCAATAAAAAAGCTGGGCATGGCAGTGTGCACCTAGCATATCAGCTACATGAGAAACATAAATAAGAGAATTGTGGTTCAGGCCAGCCCAGGCAAAAGAGAGTCTGCACCTCAAAAATAATCAAAGCAAAAAGGGCCAAAGGCATGACTCAAGTGGAAGAGCATCTGCCCAGCAAGCACGAGTCCCTGAGTTTAAATCCCGGTGCTACCAAAATAAACAATAAGATGAAAAAATAAGCCACAGACTGAGAGAACATATCTAGAATATATAAAGAACTCTTAAAATCCAATCATAGAAAAACAACTCAATTAAGAAACAGGCAAAAGATTTGAACAGATACTTCACCAAAGATGACACAGAGATGGAAAATAAGTACATGAACATACTGCTAAACATCCTCAGTTACTAAAGAAATGCAGATTAAAACGGGAAGATACCACCAGACAGCGATTAGAATGGCTAACATGAAAACAAGTGGGTAACTTTACTAAGTATTGACATGTGGAGTAACTGGAACTCTCACTACTAGTGAAAAAAAAAAAAAAAACGGAACAGGGAAGAACTGCCAGATTCTTAAAAAGTGAAATACACACATACCAAATGACACAGATATTCTATAAGTATCTACCTAGAATACTTCCACACAGACTTTGTTTGTTCCACAAACACAAATGTTTATAGTACTTTTACTTGCAACAGCCCCATATTGTAAAAAACTCAAATGACTATCAACAGATATATAAGCAAAGTGGTAAAGCCATACTATGGATTATTAATAGTTGTAAAAAGAAATGAGTATTGTAAAAAGAAAAGAATTTCATCCAACAAGCTACATGAAATTGAAAATAAATGAGTCAAAGAAGCCAGACAAAAAGAAAGAATACACACAATATAATATCATTTATACAAAATTATAGAAAACGCAAGCTTATCTACAGTGGCAGAAAGCAAATGAGTGGTTGCCTAGGGATGGGAATGGAAGCACTAAAAAGGAAGACTGGACTACAAAAGGGCAAGAGGAAAATTAGGGATGGGGAATATTTACTTTGAATATAGTAACAGTGCCAAATGTGCATACACACATATATGTAAAGCTTATCAGGGTAATACATTTCAATGTATAGACTATCAATTACATTTCAATAAGCCTCAAAAAGGTAAAATAAATATTTGTCTATTTTTACATGGCCAACATATCTCTTATATAAAAATTTTAAACAGGTGATTTTTTAAAAGCAAGAAGAGAGCCCGTAGTCTCTAACAGCAAACTTTTAACCCTATAGCAAGTAAGACAGGCTGTGCAAAGGTAGGTTTTCAGTACAACCTCTTTCTCTTTGAGTAAAACTCTTCTGGTCACAGGTGATTACTAGAATTATTAGAATTTACATTGGCAGAGAAGTAGCAAATATTGCTTCAGAAATCACCATCTAATGGGGGGGGGGGGGGGGGGCTGGGGGGGGGGGGGGGGGGGGGGGGGGGGGGGGGGGGGGGGGGGGGGGGGGGGGGGGTCGGGGGGGGGGGGGGGGGGGGGGGGGGGGGGGAGGGGAGGGGGGGGGGGGGGGGAGGGGGGGGGGGGGGGGGGGAGGGGGGGGGGGGGGGGGGGGGGGCGGGGGGGGGGGGGGGGGGGGGGGGGGGGGGGGGGGGGGGGGGGGGGGGGGGGGGGGGGGGGGGGGGGGGGGGGGGGGGGGGGGGGGGGGGGGGGGGGGGGGGGGGGGGAGGGGGGGGGGGGGGGGGGGGGGGGGGGGGGGGGGGGGGGGGGGGGGGGGGGGGGGGGGGGGGGGGGGGGGGGGGGGGGGGGGGGGGGGGGGGGGGGGGGGGGGGGGGGGGGGGGGGGGGGGGGGGGGGGGGGGCGGGGGGGGGGGGGGGGGGGGGGGGGGGGGGGGGGGGGGGGGGGGGGGGGGGGGGGGGGGGGGGGGGGGGGGGGGGGGGGGGGGGGGGGGGGGGGGGGGGGGGGGGGGGGGGGGGGGGGGGCGGGGGGGGGGGGGGGGGGGGGGGGGGGGGGGGGGGGGGGGGGGGGGGGGGGGGGGGGGGGGGTGGGGGGGGGGGGGGGGGGGGGGGGGGGGGGGGGGGGGGGGGGGGGGGGGGGGGGGGGGGGGGGGGGGGGGGGGGGGGGGGGGGGGGGGGGGGGGGGGGGGGGGGGGGGGGGGGGGGGGGGGGTGGGGGGGGGGGGGGGGGGGGGGGGGGGGGGGGGGGGGGCAGAGAAGTAGCAAATATTGCTTCAGAAATCACCTCTAATGAAATTAAGTGTAAACACAAGGATGTTTCTCTACAAACAGAAGAGGAATAAATATAGCCTTACACTTACTTCAAATACAGACCATACCTGAAGATCCTATTAGTGAATATACTAACCACATTCAAAGGCTTTTTTTGTTTCCTCCACTATAAAGAGCTTGACAAAGATGGTCTGATATCCTGCTTTCCTATTTAGTAGGCAAGAACTTCTTGTCCTTCTCTGCTGTTTTTAGTGGAACAGAAGCCAAAAACTCTACACTGTTTACTTCCTTATTTGTCCAACAAATCATCACCACTGAGGTCAGCAGCAAAGTGAACAGCCCTGGCAGGAATGTTTATTAACTAACAGTGTTCCAAGCCAGTTGAAGAAAGCCCATAGCAAAACAGATGTATGACTTGGCTCTAATTTTCAAAAGCAGAGTTATAGCAATTTTCCTAAACTTGGTTGCATTTCTAGAGCCAGAATGATAAATTAATTATCTGTAGTAGTAATCAAAGCTGCATGTGTTTTTAACAGCTTCTCTTAATCAACTGGGTATACTACTAAACTGACAGTTTTAAATTGTAGTTGGTTTTAGCATTATAATTTCATAAAATTACCCATGGTGGTGATCCTTGCTTTATTTTTCTGTAACAAAATTATTTCAAATGCCTTAATGATAAAGATTTGAAACAAGCCAATCAAAACATCATAAATTACCTATGCCTCCCTCATTCTATGAGGTTAAAATATATATACATAGTTCACTGACAGAAAAGGCAAACATATGTACTTGCACAGGCAGCATTTCAAGGGTTTAGTAAGAAAATGATATTTAATTATGTACTGTTCTATTTGTTTATACTTTGAAGTCTACTCTATTTTAAAAACACTGAGCACTTATTTATAAGCATCAATCATCACCAATTAAATAAGCAACAACAATGTACAGGTTTGGAAGCAGGTTTGTCATTGTACTTAACAAAGGAGAGATGGAAGCAATTATAAACTCAAGGAAGGCAGTGGAGTTGTGTTTTCCTTAGATGTAAAACTCCCAACACCATATATGATAAATGTTAAGTGCCCAGTAACAGAAAATAATAATAGCAATAAGACTAAAATATATGAAAGTCAAGTACTATAAAGTCTATTCTTCCTTATTTGCTTCTATGAAACGATGCACCAATTCTACTCCACAAGTTTTGTATTGAGTACATATTCTGTTCTTCATCACTATGAAATTTACTGTGTCATCGTACTTTTTGAATATCCAATCTCCCCTACCCAAAATAACACTGTTTAAGAATATTGGATATTAACAAAAATACTTAAGGGAACAAGCCACTGATTACAGAAGGTAAATATCAAAAGATTGTCTGTAAGTTGCCCTCCTGCTATTTAAGTGAATGGTTTCCCAAAATGAGAACTTAAATTTAGGTAAATGAGTTCAAATATGTTCCTTTTTATTTATTTACTTATTTTTTTGTAAAGTCCCATTTCAATATGGACCTATATTACATGAAAGAATTCCCTGGTCCAAGGAACTAACAAAGTTTAGAGTACAAATGTAGAAAAAAATAGACAAGAGTACTAACTGACATAAGCATATCTTTTTGAAAGCAGTTTCCTATATATTCTTGAAATACTCAATCTTAGTTTCATACCATTTACAGCTTTTTCAATCAACTCTTCACAAGCATCAAAGTCGCCCTTCAACACCAGTTTGTCATGCATATCTGTTAACATAGGATGCTCCAGTGCGATCTTAGTTTTCTTTTGCAAGGATTCAAAAGCCTCTGTATAGTTGTGTTGTCTGAAGTGTTTTAGGCAAAGGCGAATGGCTTCCTGTTCACGGTACTACTAGAACACAAGAAAAAGTATACAAAGAAGAGATTTCCTTAGTTGTTATGGTAGGAAATAATAACAGCAAAAATAACTAATCTAAAATGAGCAATTATTATTTCCCAAGCACTGTATTAATCCTACACATTTGATATAATTTTCATCTTTTAAATAGCAAAATTAAGCCAGATGTAGTGGCTCACACCTGTAATGCCAGCTGGTAGGTAGATGGAGATTGGGAGGGTCTCAGTTTGCGGCCAGCCCAGGCAAAATGTTTGCAAGACCCCATCTCAACCAATGAAAACTGGGCATAGTGGCATGCGCCTGTCATCCCAGCTACACAGGAAGCATAAGTAGGAACATAGTTGTCCAGGCCTGCCTGGGCCTAAAGTGAGATCCTGTTCAAAAAATAACTAAGGCAAAATGCACGGCTTAAGTGGTAGAGCACCTGCCTAGCAAGCATGAGGTCCTGAGCTCAAACCCCAGTACTACCAAAAAAAAAAGCAAATCTGAAGCTTGACATGTTGTGATAACTTGCCCAAGGTTACAAAGTATGTTACAGAGGAGAAAAAACCAGACCTAATTCCAAAGTCGGAATTTTGAAAAAGAAGCAATTCACTATGTTTTATTAAAGTCCATTTAAGATTGTAAAAATCATTGTAAACATGTTAACTCCCACTAATCACAGTACAATGCAGGTGCTGTAAGTACAGAAATCATTAAGTAAATACCTAAGTTACATTATGCTTTTTGATATTGGCTCTTTTCTTTTTTCTTTTTGTAGTATTGGGGTTTGAACTTAGGGCCTCACACTTGCTAGACAGATACTCTACCACTTAAGCCACTTCACCAGATGATCTTGGCTCTTAATAATAAGCTTTACTTTAATGACAAGAATCATCAAATATATGGGTATGCCAATGGCCTGGTGCTGGTGGCTCACACCTGTAATCTTACCTACTCGAGAGGCAGAGATCAGGAGGATCAAGGTTTGAGGACAGCCCAAGTAAATTGTTTGTGAGACTCCATCTCAAAATTACCCGACACAAAAGGCTATAAGAGTGGCTCAAATGGTAGCATGCCTGCCTAGCAAGCATAAAACCCTGAATTCAAACCCCAATACTGTCCCCCCCAAAAGAAAAAAACAGTATGCCAAAATTTATAAACAGATTTTAAAACAAAAATACCATCGGAAAGAGACTAAATTTTATTATCTTTTCCTAAGGCTGGGATACCTCATTGATTAAACAGTTATAAAATAGACATTACAATTAACTGGAATCCAAAAAGCGAGCACTCAATTTATAAAACTTCTCCTCAAACAGATTGAATGTCAAAAATACAGGCTCATTTAAAAGTTTTTTTAAAAAAATATCAATTTCAAGAATATGTAAGGGGACTTCCTCAAATTTACTAAGTACCGAACTATAGAATAAGAATCTTATGCTACATAAGAACTACATAGTAATCAAACTTACAAGTACTACCTTTTAATAAGGCAAGAAAATGAGACATGAAGACTTGAAGCATAAATCAGTGTACAGTTAAAAGACTTCTTGAGAAATAAAGGTTATTAAAAAGCTGATTCCTTACACACGATAATTAACATTTAACCTTATCAAAAAAATCAAAGAATGATTCTGTACCAATGCTTATTTTACATGAATACTTTTTCACTTTTGGCCTCTAAAAAAACTTATTATTAACATCTATATAACCCTATACAGCTCTATTAAATAGTAACCTCTATTCATGTTTCCTGAGAGTCTCAATCACATCTACATCTTAAATCTTCCATCAGGTTAAGAAACTAATCCACTAAAACTTATGTTTAAAATATTTATTTATACCAACATAGGTTAAAAACAAAATTCAGGGCCAAATCGATGCAAAAACAAAACGGCAAACTGTAGAGCCAAACCACCTGAGTTCACATACTAGCTTGAGCACCTTACAACTGTGCGACTCTTGGGCAAAATATTTAGCCTCTCTGTCTTCCATCTCCTCATCTGTAAAATAATGAGGACTAATAAATGACTTAACACTGCTTAAAAGCTGGCAGATTATAAATGCTTAATAAATGCTAGTTGATTAATCATAACTTTTTTTTTCCACTTTTTTATTTTTCTGTGGTACTAGGAATCGAACCCCAGGCCTCATGCATGCTAGGAACTTGTATTATTATCCTCAATATTTTAAATTGTCATCATGAAGATAAGAAATTGACACACTTCTCCCTCCATGGGTAGTAATGAAGTCCAATTTTGAAATACAGTCCTACCTTGCTGTACCAGTTGAGACAAGGTTGTACCACATCAGGATCATCGATGCCACTAAGTTCAACATACCAGATGCTAAAGTTAAAGCTGGGCCCCCAGGACAAGAGTGGAACTTCAAGGAAGAAAAACAAAAAAAGAAGAAAATGGAGTAACATAGTTCAAATAAAACTTTAGCAACATAAAACCACTATTTAAGCCTACAAGGACTTAATTCAACAAATTTCCTGAGCATCTTCTGTAGACCAGCATTGCGCTAGGTTCTAAGGCTACAATAACAAAAAAGAAATATTTGTTGGGCTTGGTGGTACACAACTATAATTCCAGCACTCAGAGGGCTGAGGCAGGAGGATCATGAGTTTGAGGTCAGCCTGGGCTATGCAGTGAGACTACATTCAAAAAATGAAATCAACAACAACAAAAATGCATCATAAACTTTAAAAATTAAACCTGGCCGGGTGCCAGTAGCTCACGCCTGTAATCCTAGCTACTCAGGAGGCAGAGATCAGAAGGTTCCAAGTTTGAAGCCAACCCCAGGAAATAGTTCACAGGACCCTATTTTGAAAACATCCATCATAAAAAAGGGGCTGGTAGAATGGCTCATGGTGTAGGCCTTGAGTTCAACCACCAGTACAGCCAAAAAAAAAAAGTTAAACCTAATGAAGAAACATTAAGTAGTCCCACTCAAGAGAGAACAACACAAAAAAAGAGGCTCAATTCCTCCACTGCTCAACAACGTATGAAAGGTCTTAGCTAACGCAGTAGGGGAATCGCCTATGGCATCCATCACCACTTCACACAACAGAAGAGGGCTCACACGGCTCGAGTGGCAGAGCACTGGCCTAACAGGCACAGGCCGCAAGTGCACAAATCCAACAGTGTTACACATACAAATGCTATGCTTTGGATGCATCGTGTACTGGCTATGCAGCCTACAACAGGTCATGTGACTTCTACAGTTTCTTAAACTGAAAAAGCAAAACGTGTTATCTACTAGATAACACACGTGAAAACATTTAGAAAAGCATCAAAATTATAAATATAACAAGTTCTAAATAATAATTGCTGAAATAATATCATGGTTCAAACTACACTAGTACACACTCTTTCTAAAGTAGCTAAAATACTACTTGTAAAGCATGAAAACAAATGCTTTATAAACATAACTATGAAAATGCACAGGAAGAAATGCACAAGGGTATAGTGGTACACACATGTAATCAAAGCTACTTGGAAAGGTAGAGATCAGGATAATCATAGGTCAAGGCCAACCTGGAAAGAAAAGGTTAACAAGACCCCATCTCAACCAGATGTTGTGGTGCATACCTGTAATGCCAGTTACACAGGAGGCAAAGGCAGGAGGATTTTGGTCCAAGGCCAGCCCAGGCAAAATTGACACTTTACCCAAAATTAAAGCAAGAAGTACTAGGGGTATGGCTCAGACCCTAGGTTCAAACCCCAATACTGCCCCCTCCAAAAGATACTCAAAATGAAATCATTTACTTCATAAATGTGATCTTAAAATTCAAAACACTACCACAGATCCACAAACTAGAGTTTGTATATGTAAATGTATAATGTAATTTTCTACCCCACCATTTAAAAAAAAATACTTGGAAAAAGAGTTGCTTAGTAATGGATATATAAAGCAAGGGTTAGCAAACTTCATTTGTAAAAGGCCAAACAATAACTTTTAGGCTTTATGGGTTATAAGTTATCTTGTAATTATTCACTTCTACCCTTGGAGTGCAAAAGCAGACAATCTATAAACACTGTGGCAATGTTCCTATAAAACTTTATTTTTAAAAAAAATGGGCCTGCAAGATTTGGTACTTGCATTGTAGTTTGTGGACCAATGGCATAAAGAATTTGTTTCAATTCCAAAATTCTAAAACCTTACCTATTTTAATGAATCGGCAAGGAAACATCTGTTCATCAATTTTATGTTTCAAGGTGAATGTTTCTTTGTTATAATCATTCTTTAAACCACTGTAGGGGGAAATTAAGTTATCAAATCTGACTTCATAACTTGGCAAACACACTAAACCACAAATTAAAGCCATATTCAGATTTTAAGTTTAAATCAATGCTCATAACATATGACCAAGACAATATAAACAGTGGAACGAAAGGCTATAGGTCCAAACTTACACTTTCAAATCAACCACAAAATAAGTGTATTCTTTTAATTATATGAGAGCTATTACAGTTCATAAAATGTGTGCTAGAACCAAATTTCCTTAATATATGACTGAATTTCAAGCAGTAGGAAAGAAATTAAAAAACAATTGACACTCATATCTAGCAACTTAAATGAAGCTGAATTATAGAATTTGTGAAGAAATTAAATTACTTAATTCTTATTGAGAAGCCAAAATTCCTTTTATAATTAAGCACATTTTCAAAGACAACCATATTTTATTGATTTAACAGCATCTGCTGCATCTTAAATAAAAATCAGCCCATATTATCTCTGCACTTAGCCAACTAGAAGTGACACAAGTACTTACAGGAAAATCACTTCAGGTTGCCTTATGTCCTAAAATATTTTCATGACTTAATTAAGAGCACAGAAGTAATAGTTTTTTATATAAAGCATTTTGTTAATGGGACACACTGTGTCACAAATATATTCTATATTATGCCTTTATTTGTCCCTTTCCTAACTATCCGATTTCTGATAATCAGGGTAAGGGGTAAGGAGGCAAGACAGCCCTGACAAAAAGTTTGCAAGACCCCATCTCAACCAACGCCTGGGCATGGTGCCACACACCTGTCATTCTAGCTACATGGAGAAGTACAAGTAGGAGACTCACCATCCAGGCTGACCTGAGCATAAAGGCAAGACTCTATCTCAAAAATAACCAATGCACAAAGGGCTGGTAGAGTGGTTCAAGTGGTAAAGTGCCTGCCTAGCAAGTGCAAGGCCCTAAATTCAATCCCCAGTTCCACTGGAAAAAATAAAAAGAACCAAAATTTGCTGAGTTCCTTCCAATGTCAAGCACGATGATCTGCATAGTCACTTAATTTTTTTCATTTACAGAACCTTTTCTTATTTGGTCTCCAAATTGCAGTAAGTCTTAGAATACTAATTCTTCTGGATCAGGCAATCAACATTTTAGATAGGGTCTATATTTGTAGCAAAGACTCTTTTTTTCCTTCCCAATCCCTGACAAAGATTTTTGTTCCATTGCTGGGGACTGAATCCAAGACCTTGCACTACAGTAAAGATCTTGATTAAAGTTGAAAATATTTCTGAAGTCATCAGCTGTTCAAAAATATAACTGAAAAAAGAGAATGGAAACTTCCTTGATGTCAGTATTAACTGTATCTGGTAGTTTTTTGTTTAACTAACTCAAGTCACAGTTTGTTAAAAAAAAAAAAAAAAGCATTAGGAGTAAAACAAGAGAGCTATTTGTTACCGCCTCAAAAAAAAAAAAAAGAAAGAAACATAAACTTAGCTACTAAACTAAGAGCATAATTTGTTTAGAAAACAGACCTTTCCTCCCCTTAGCCAAAACTCACCTCGACAGTAGCTCTGTCATATTTTCTTCATTCATTCCACCAAAGACTTTAAATTTCTTCAAATTGCAGACATGAGTTTTCTCATATTTTCCAAATGTGATATTCTGAACTATAGCTGGCCTTTCAAGCTTCAGAATCAAGTACTTAAAATAAAAAAAAAAGAAACAATGAATTGTCTCCTCCTCTGCTTAAAACAAAGAGACAACTTTAACAGTTAAAACTTCTGTCCATTAACAGAAGAATGAATAGCATCCATCCTACACTGGCAGAGTTTCGTTTTGTTTTTTAAACTAAAGAATAGTATACAACAACCTTATCAACATTATCGCCACTTTTCACTCTGACTTCATCTGTAGATGAAGGAAGAATAAAAGAACTAGTGATATAATTTCTCATCAAAGAATGATATTGAATTAAGGATACAACCAGACTATGAATAACCAAATTAAACAAGATTAGAATGCAAAAGCAACAATTACATCTTCTTATGGACTATCTTTTAATAGCTAAATCAATAATCAAAACCAGTGATAAAACCTAGAAACAAATATAGAGATGTATCAATCACCTCTACCAATTTTACAGATTAAAAATCCCAGACTGGAGATTAGGTTATCCTCCTCCAAAGTTATTCCATATTCTACTGAACAGTAGCTTTCAGGTTGTCTTGCCCAGAGTGATGCCACTTTAAAAAACAGCAGTTTGTTCCATTTTGAGTGCAAATACTGAGACAGAATGACTCTGCATCTTGTTTGTGGAAGTAATCAACCACCAGATGTCCAGCACAAAACCATGAAACAGACTGATAAATAACTTATTTATATCAACAAAAGATTACTACCTATGAACTTACCAAACTAAATCAGGAACACATGGACACATGGGCCTATCAAACATATCAGAAAAACCAAGCCCAGAAACTTATCCCAGCACACTATACCAAAAAATGATAAACCACCTCACCTGAATCATAAAACCAAGGACACCTAAGACTGGGGTAAGGTGGCACACAGCATCCAGTGCATGCACCAAGGATGACTCTTGACCCTATCCCTGGGACTTCAGCTCAGCTCAATTCCACTGTTGGTTATGACCCTATCAAATAGCAGGGTTCTTCAAGATCCAGTAAGCTTGAAAGCAGCTCTATACCTCGAACCAGCTTTGTACCTGAGTTACTTCTGCACAGTGATCCTACAAAACCTCAAGGCTTATGCTAATATCTTATTTAACCACCTGTAGTGATTCTCCTGTATCAGGTTTCTATTCTTGCCTTAGCAAGTCCTCTTTGAAACCTGCAGCCACTTTAAGCAACTTTGTTACCTAAATATTATTGTTAAGTATAATGTGTGAACTAAGAGTTAATATTAGTAATTGAGATTGGAATAAAAGAACCTGTTTGCCAAATGGCTCATGGCTATCAAGTAGTATTTGAAAATCAGTAGTATTTGGCAAATTCATGCCAACGAAACTGACAAAGCTTATGAATTTATTGAAAGACACAAGCGTGTCCATCTACGTTTCTAACATAGCTTGCCCACGACACAGACTTACTATAGCTATATCTAATATACTCAAGTTTTCCTACCACACCCTTGATAAAATGGGATCAGCTAATAAGGAAAAACATAAAGACTGTTTTCAATTATAAAAATTAAGCAGGAAATTACCACTGATTTGAATACATGTGATACAAAAGCTGTTCAGAAAAACAATTTACATGTTTTATTGAGACTTCATGCTTCATGATAATAATGAGTATATAGATGATAAAGGTGATTATTAAGAATGAAATTGGTGGTACTACCTCTTACTAAAAACAAAAATTAACTCAAAGTTGATCAAAAGATCAAAACAGAATTTTTAAGAATCAAAGACCTAAACATAAGAGATAAAACTTTAAATTCTAGACAAAAACACAGGAGTAAATTTTGATAGTTTTAGTTTTGACAAATGACAAACAATGAAGTATAAAATTGGGCTTCATCAAAATCAAAATTTTTATATCAGAGAACACTAACAAAGTGAAAAAATGAGACCTCAGACAGGGAGAAAATGTCTACAAATCACGTATCTGGTAAGAGTCTAGTATAAAGAATATATAAATAATAATCACAACTTAAGAACAAAAAGACAAACAACCCAATAAAAAAATGAAAAAGATGCTCAACTTCATTAGTCATTAACCATAATGGGAATCCAAATCAAAGCCACAATGAAACGTCACTTCATGTCCACTAAGTGATGACTACAAAAGAAAAAAAAAGTCAAAAAGGCAAAATAACAAGTATTGGCAAAATTGGAAATTTCATACCTTGCTGATAGAAATATCAAGCAGTACAGACACTGTGAAAAATAGTTTGGAAGTTCTTCAAAAAGATAAATATAGAATTACCACATGACCAAAAAAGTATCTATTCCTAGGTACATAGTCAAAGGAAGTGAAAAAATAACATTTTATGAGTGCAAAGAACAATCCTAGTCACAACAGCCTTAAAGGTGGAATCGACCCAATGATCTGCCAACTGATCAATAACTAAACAAAATGCAGTATTTCTGTACTGGCAGAGTGGTCAGGTAGTGGGGTGCATGCCTAGCAAGTGTGAGGCCCTTAGTTCAAATTTGAGTACTGCATTTAAAAAAAACAAAACAAAAAAGCAGAATTTCCATAAATGGAGCATCTTTAACCCAAAAAAAGGAATGAAGTACTGATATGCGCTACAACATGAATAACCTCAAAAGCATGCTAAATGAAAGAAGTTAAATACAAAAGGCCAGGAGTCTGAAATCAGAGTGTCTCCTTCCAAAGGACCTATGCCAGGACCTCTCTTTGCTTCTCCCAGATGGGTCCTGGTTGTTTCTTGACAATTATGGCAGCATGACTCCAACCTCTGCCTCCATTTTCATATAGCTTTCTCCCCTGTGTTTCTTCCTTTTCTGTGTCTAATAAAGACACTGGTCATTGGATTTAGAGCCTACCCTAATCTAGAATGATCTAAACTAGAGACCGTTACCTTACCTACATTTACTGAACCATTCTTCCAAATAAGGTCACATTCTGAGGTTGTGAGGTTCCACATATTCAAAAACCACTACACATTGCCAGTCAGGCAAAAAAAAAAAAAAAAAGCAAAATAGATTATAAAAATGAATTCTAAGTACTATCAAAATGTCAATGTAGCTACAGCCTAGCAAACAAGGCAGAAAATGGTATGTGTTGAGAATGAAAAGGCAGGCAGTCTCCAGATCATGTAGTCTGCCATTTTATGGAGTTCAAATTATAAATGCAGTGAAACCTATTGAGCACAATGGAAAGCCATGATCGCATTACACACACAAATATATCCAGACTGCTTTGTGGAGAATGGATTACAAGAACTGGCAAACCACTGAAGGTGCCACTAACATAATTCAGAAAAGAGATAAGACCAGGAAGATTTGAAATAAGAATGGTAGAGAGTTGGAGAGAAGACAGTTTTGCAGAAATAATTGATAGGACCTGGTAACAGATTAGACATAGGGAGAGGAATGAAAGGTATAAGGAAGATGATTTAGTTTCTGACTTTAGTCTGATGATTTAGTCTGATGATTTAGTTTCTGAGTAACAGTGAAGCATCATTTATTCTGAGAAGAAGGACTGGCAAACAGAAAGCATGGAAGGGAGACTACTAAAGCCCAGATTGTATACCAATGTCTTTTGAGGCTGTGTATAAATCACCTTGTTGTTTAAAACAACAGTGATTTACGATTTCTCATAATTCTGTGGGTTTGCTAAACAGTTTCTGCTATTATCTCCTAGCCTAATTTCAGTTTGAGAGTTAGTAGAAGTGGGCTTAGTTGAGGTGGGGGATGGGTGGCTGGGCTTAGCTGGAATTGAGCCTCTCCACTTCAACATTCACTCCCAAGAAGACTACATGGGCTTCCTTCAAAGGATAGTTGTCTCAGAGTTCCAAAGGGCCTTGGATAATCATCAACTTAGAAGTTGCAATACCACTTCCTTAGACTTTTCTGCTAGCCAAAGCAAGTCGCAAGGCCAGCCAAGATTCAAGATTCAAGACATAAAGGAGTAGACAGCATCTCTTCCTGGAAGGAACCAGAATTTATGACCATAGTAAGAAATTTGGACTCTATTCTAAGAAGAGTAACACAAAAGAGTTTTAAGGTATGCTATAGCAAGAACAACAAAATTCAATATCCATTCAAAAATCCCTACCTTAAGATGCAGCAATTCTATTCCTAGATATTTATTCAACATATAAATAGATAAAAATACACATTTTCAAATCTTATAGAATATTTATATAAGCTTTATTAATAATCACCAAAAACGGAAACACCATAAATGTCCATGAACAGAACTGATAAACCGTAGTATATTCATAAAATGGAGTATTTTCTGCGATGTAAAGAAATGTAATACAAATGCACATAGCAAGTCAAACAATCATTATAAAAAAAAAAGAAAACATGCTGAGCACTGAGTGTGGAAGCACACACATCTGTAATCACACTTGGGAAGTTCAGACAGAAGGATCCACAGTTCAAGGACAGGATAGGTAACACAGGGAGACTCTGTCTCAAACAACAAAATACACTGTGCATAAGCAGCCATATTATAAAAAAAGAACTGTATGTAATATAAATAGCATGCATTTGTAATGATATAAATATTTTACATATAATATAGACACTCTGACTCCAGTACATTAAATTTTAGAACTAGCAAAACTAATTAATGGCAAAAGAAATCCAACTGGTTGCTTCTTGGTGGAGGGTGGAGGATGGGAAAGTGTGCGATTCTTTGGTAAAGAGGCAGAAAGGATCTTTCTGGAGTGATGAAAATATTTTCTATCTTGGTAAGGGTATGAATTATATTGGTGTACACATTTTTCAAGTTGGATACAATATACACCTAAGGCTCATACATTTTTACTGCTTATAAATTATATCACTTAAAACTGTACTACATAATATATACAATGGTTCTTTCACAAACTTGGACAAAATGAACCAAGAAATTACATTGGAATGCACCAGTTTTCTTTTATTACCATCCTCATTTTCTAAGTAATTTTCCTCATTCCTGTAACACTCTGTTCGGCAGACAGAGAAGGAATAATCCGAGTGTATGGCAAAAGCAAAAACAGCACCCCCACACATCAACTAATCACTAAGGTTTCTTTGATCTGCTTAGGTTATACAAAAGCTTGCTGTTTGTTGAACGAGTTCATTGCCCTCTCTCTAGTCCCCAAAACAAAGAATATTATTAACAGTCATACCTCTACTGAAACTATTTTGAAGGAGCTTATAATTGCAAAATTATGATGTAATCTTTCTTAAAGCAATTATCAAGACATCTGTAACTGCCCATAAACTTAACCAACCCTAGAGTATTCATCAGTCATCTTAAAAGATGTTTTCCATGGCAATATTACCAAGTCCTTTAAGATGTATTTGATGAGAGAGATGGGTGAAATTTCTATCTTAAACCATTCATGGGGTATTCATTCATTCTATATTCATTCCCTACCAGTACAGACAATCCAGAATTAACAAGAAATCTGTCTCTCGTTGGTTGGAAGATTATAAAAATCATTTTTTGTTATTACAATTTTCATTTATAGAATTTCTTGCTACTTTTCCAAATTCACTAAATCACATTCTACAGTTTCCTCTTCCTTGCAGATATCTGTTCTTTCTTTAATATTTAAGTAATTCTCTTAATTCCAGTATCTTTTAATACTTTTAATTCCAATATCTAAAATCCTGAAGGTCTCTACTGTTCTAAGAGTGTCTTCTTTGCTGGTATATTTGGTTGTGTACTGCTCACTTTCAATAATGATTTGTGGAGAATACCTGAGGCCTGAGGATGAAGGTTACCACTCCAGCGAATCTGCATTTGTTTCTGCTGAGAACTTTAACAGTACCATTCATCCGTAGTCACTTTTAAATCATACCATCAGGTTTTATGGATAGCCAGGAACTGAAAATCTTAGTACCCATGTGAACAAAGACGAACACAGTTATAATCTCTCAAGAATGGGTTTTCTTCTTCATTTTCCTCTATTCAGTATCAGTGCAACTCTCCCCATTTCTCAGAGAGCTACAGCCAGGCACCATTTTGAGAGGTCTATTGTTTGAGATTAAGCTACTCTAGGGACCTGAAAACAAGATACAATCCTAAATCAGGGAGCCCAGAAACACCCTCCCATAGTGACCGGGTGCAACATAGTCCAAAAGGGGATGGGGTGGGTATGGATGGTTGGCACCAACCTGCTGAGAAGTCTGGGCAGTAGGGAGCTCAGGCTGTTAAGGGTCCAGTGGTTTGTGGCTCTGCCCTCTATGGCAAGGAGTGAGCCCCACAGTCAGTGGATCACTGCAGAAACTGAGGGCTCTGAGCTCAAGCCTGTGACTAATAGATTTTATGGCCTCAGAAGCTGCCTCCCTGCTGAGTGTGGTTTGTTGCTAGGCAAGACTGAGAACACTGAGTTCTGGTCCAGTGATCACTCTCCCAGCCTCCTCCCTCCTGCAGTGATTTACTGCTGGATGGAATCTGAAAGCACTGAAACCCACAGGCAGTGCTCATCAGTTTCCCTGGGTTCTTCCCCTCCAGTGTAGATCTCAGAGCTCCATCTGCTCCTCTACTCTTCCACACCCTAAAGTGACATTTCTAGTCTTGAACACTGGCTGCCTGTGGGTACAGAAACTGGTGGGTCTAGAAAGAATGTGAAGCTGTCCAGCCCACAGGCTACAAAGCTCATTTGGGCACCAGTGGCTCTGAGTATACAGATAAGGGAAGCTTCTAAACTGCATGCAGCCCAGAAGCTGATAATTGACCCTTGGCTGGCCCAACTGTCAGCCTGCATACAGCACTGGCCTCAACAGTGTTGCTGCTGTTACACTGCTTGTTTTCTCCTGAGAGGTACTGGGATTGAGTCTTCAAGAGATGGCTTCTCAGTTTTAGCCCCCTGAATAAAACCAGACAAGAGATATCTAGCCCAACAGATGTGCAACTCACAACCTAGAAACACAAGAAATATGAAACAATGGGCTACTTGTGTGTGTGTGGGTGTGGGGGGGTGGAGATATAGCAGGAAGGGGGAAAGGAAAGCTGAGGGTGATGGGAGGATGAATATGATAAAAGGTACATTGTATACACGTGTGAAAAGACCTTAATGAAACCCACTTTGAAAACTGCAAAGAAAAAAAAAGGGTGGAAGGGCAGAGAGGGGAGGGGAATAAGAAAAGAGCTTAATAGAAAGGGTGAATATGATCAAAGTACATTATATATGTATGGAAAGAGCACAATGAAATCCTTCACTTTCTACAATTAATACACTCCAATTGAAAAAATGAGGGCTGGCAGAGTGGCTCAAGTGGTGGAGCATCTGCCTAGCAAGTGTGAGGTGCCCATTTCAAACCCCAGTACTTCCAAAAATTTTTAAATGTGTGTACCAAGAGAAAACATACAAGAAAGACCATAGTAACATGTTTCACAATAGTGAAAAACTGTAAAACAATTAAAAATCAAAAAATAAAACTCTCTCAGCAGCAAAATAAACAGAGTTTGGCATATTTATTATATACTGGAATAGTATATGGCAAGGAAAATGAACAAACTATAGTTGCCTGCAACAATTTAACAAGCCTCGTGTTATTAAGCATACTGCAAAATACTTCTAAATGAGTTAATCAATTTATGTTATATTTTATATAAAGTTGAAGCCAGAAAAACTAAATCATAGGGTATTTGCAAATACTTACATATATAGTAAAACAATGCTTTAAAAAACATGAAATAATTGTTCTTGAGGGAGAGGAAAGAAGAGAGGAGGGGGAGGAAGGGGAGGGAGAAACAGGAAGGAAGAAGGAAGAAAGGGAGGTAGGAAGGGAGAAGAGAAGGAAGAAAGGGAGGAAGGGAAGGAGAGAAGGAAGGAATAAAAAGAAAGTAACTTTAAACACCAAGTTTCCATGAATGCCACTAAAAGTTTTATTTCCCTATCTATGTACCTACTATAATAATAAGCATTAAGGCTGAAAGTGTAAAATTAGAAAGAATGACTAGTTTTAAATTTAGACAGACTTATTATGGTCGTAACACCATCAAGCATACTAATATTTTAATAAAATTACAAACTACACTTAAGTTTATTTTCCCCAAAAGGTTGTCATTGAGTCAAAGTTGAATTTCCTAATACTTCCTTAAATATTTACAGAATGACTAGAGTCTAATGGAACAGGGGCCACAACCTCCACTCAGATGAGAACAGCAACAGGACCTTACTGGTGAACATTCTCATTAGCTGTTAAGAAACTTAGCTTTCCATCATTAGTAATCCAGAAAAAATATAAATTAGAATTTAAATCTCAGTGCACAGGGATAAAAATCTGTTTCATCAAATTCCACACTGCATTTGCCTATGAAATCAAACTTCTTCCAAAATTTAACTAACTAAATAAATAAAAACGTGCCTCACAATCCCAAAGACAAAATAAACTACTAATGGATTTCAGATAACTGGTATCAACACAGTAAGAGTTTATCTAAATTCTGACTTTGAAATAGTCATACAATAATGCTACACATAATCTTACCTGGGGAGGATAGTTGCTCTCTGAAGACCATCTTGAAGATTGGTCATTTGGTTTATCCACTAAAATGTTTCTGAAATAAAGAAAAGGAAATTGAAAGCAACTAATTAAAACAGTAAGTGAACATGAATAGACAAAAAGAATAATCAGATGCTTTAGCAATCATAATGATATATAATGTTCAAAGCTTTAGTAAGAATAGAATATAAACAGATAAGAAGCACTGAAAGCCTCTAGCATATATAAGATTTTAAAATATGATAAGGGGACTAGGCATGGTGGTGCACACCAGCACTCAAGAGGCTGAGGCAGGAGGATTTCAAGTCTGAGGTTAGCCTGGACTGACTACATAGTAAGACCTGATTCAAACAACAATAACAAATATATATGATAAAGGTCACATTTCAAGCAATGGAAAAAATGAGGCAAGTTTGTTTTAAAAGTTTGACTTCACAACAGGTGATAAAATGTATTTTTAGCAATATTTAAAGGAAAATATAAAGGAATATGCCTAAATTTTAAAATACCTAAAAAATAAATAAAACACCATATTTACATATTTACATTATACTGTCTACAATTTTACTGTTGCATTATATATCATAGATATTATATTATTTCAGATTAAGGATCCCTAAACTGAACATCTGTTAGTGTACACTTTTTATAGTAAAAGATTAAACAGAGCATTTTATCGCAATTTTAAAGAATACTTCAAGTATATGGGAGCCAACTTGAAGGGATTTCTACATTGCAAGTACAAAGAAATATGTGTGTACTTTTACTCTATTAGAGAAATATTATATGTATTGTATGCAATTTTAATGAATAAGTATTGGCTATAACAAATATTTATTATCTAATTATTGTCAAATTATTGAAGCACATACAAATATGAGACCAAATGAAAGCAATAAATATTGCATAAGAGATTTATTTTCTTATATTTATTCATATTGTTCAGATTTTATAAAATACTTTATATAAGAGTAAAAATAACTTCTTGCGAAAATAGGAGAATTGAGGAGACAAAACAAGTATTTATGCAAAACTGACTACACTGTCCAGATGACCACATCAGACCTCAGCAGTTCTTTCTTTTCAAAGACTCAGAAGAAAACAGAAAAGACAGAAAAGACTAATCACACCATGAAGACCACACACCCTGTGAAACAGCTGAAATCGAAATTGATGGACTTTTTAATTCCAGTTGCCAGGAATCTTTCAGACAAACCAAACAAGAGACCCACAGCACCTTCTAGTACTCGAACTATCCATTTGCACTACTTAAAACAATAAATAAATAACAGAGAAAGACACAATTCCAATTGCCAAACTATAGCGAGTCAAATCAATAAAGATTTATCTACTAAGATTAATTAATATCTACCATGTTTAAAACACTTTAGGATTGCCAAAAACTATAAGCAATTAACTGTAAACTGGTCATAAAAACTGAGAAGGGAAGAGATGTGCCTGGAGACAAACACTTTTCCCATTTTCATCAGTTTAAATTTAAAAACATTTGCATTCACTATCAATGCTGGATAAAAACTGAAAAGTAATACAAAATGAAATTCTCATTTTTAGTCTCTTTGCGATTACAGACTATTTAAAGGCAAGGCTATGAGTAATTCCATTCTTCTACTAGAACTATTACAAAATTCGATGTGAACACAAATAAGTTTTAATTGAAACATAATACAGAATTCAACTTTTTGCCAAGTTTATGGTCTCTATTTATGCATTATTTTATATCTACTATACTATACACGCTACCAATTAATGTCAAAAACAAACTTAACTTCAGAAATAATTTATTGACTTTGAGCTTAATTCAGTCAAATCTTTGTCTTAAGTAAACCATTCTTGAATTACTTAAGAATACTTAAGTCAGTGAGCTAGGTGTGTCCTCAGGAAAGATACCAGCACCTGCCCCTGGCCAAGCACAAACTCTAGCACACACACACACACCACACAAACCACACACACACACACACACACACCACACAACACACACACACACACACCACACACACACACACACACACACACACACACACACACACCACCCCCTAAACCAGACACTGGTGGCTCACACTGTAATCCTCGCTACTTGGAGGCTAAGATTGGAAGGAATGCCAGTTCAAGGCATGGCAAGCAAGCCTGGCAAAAGGTTGAGGACCCTGTCTCACAAATAGTTGAACGCACACTGTTATCCCAGCTACACAGGAGGCTGAGATTGGGAGGATCACAGCTGGAGGCCAGCCCAAGCAAAAAAAGTTTGCAAGACCTCATCTCAAGGTAAAAAGCTAGATATACCGGTACACACCTGTCATCCCAGCTATGGCAGGAAGTATAAAATAGCAGAACCATGCATGGTCCAAGCCAGACTGGGCAAAACTTGAGACCTTATCTCCAAGATATCCAGAGCAAAAAGGGCTGGAGAAGTAGTATGCCAAGCACAAAGCCGAGTTCAAAAACCAGTACAGCAAAATAAATAAATAAATAAAAAACAAACAGCGGCACATGGGCAATACAGCATTTAACACTTTCTGCTAGGGCTCCTCAGGATACTAGTCAGTATGCCCAATAGGTTTAAATAGAGAGTTTTAGATACTCAAAAGCCACCCTTAATTCAGATATAAAGAAGTAAAGTATTTAAGAATGGAGAAGGGTGCAAACTGAGACTGATTTTTCCTTTAATAATGTAAAAACACCATCCTAAAACCCTTGCTTGGTTTTGAATATGATAAAAAATGTATCTAAAAGAAATCAACCAGGAATCCTAAAACTCTGGACATTGGCCACTAACTGGATAATCTATCACATAATCTCTTAGGGCTTTAATTCCTTTTCTGCCTTGTGAAGGGAAAGGTTGAGTTCCATAATCTTAAATTTTTTCCAGTTTAATCAAGGCAGTTAAATTGCACAACTCTAGGCAGCACTATTCATGAGGCCATATTAACAATACACAATTTTTTTCTTTATTGGGGGTAGGGAGCAGTACTGGGGTTTGAACTTACAGCCTCAAGCTTGATAGGTAAGCACTCTATCACTTGAGCCATGCCCCTAAGCCCTTTTAGGTTTAATTGTTTTTCAAGAAGGGTTTCTCATTTTTGCCTATCCTGGCCTTAAGACTGTGATTCTCCTATATATGGCCTCGCATGCACCTGGGATCACAGGTACACACCATCAAACGTGCCTTACTGATTAAGACAGGGTCTTGCTAACTTTTTTTGGGGGGGGAGGGGGAGAACAAGCTGGCCTCAAACCTTAATCCTCCAACTCCCAAGCAGCTGGGATTACAGGTACGCAACACCACACTCAGCATAATATTCTACAATTCTATGAAAAGCTTTCACATCCTTCATTCCATTCACAATATCATATAATCTCATAATCTTCTTTCCACACAGCAGTCAGTAACACAGAAGAAGCTTAAAAAGCTTATCTCAAAGAAGTAAAAAATAGAATGGTAGTTCCAGAGCCTAAAATGGGTGTGGGAAGGTAGGAGATGAAGAAAGCATAGTTAACAGGTACAGGGGTCAGTTAGTTAGGAAAAAAAACTTCTAATGATCAATAGCACAGCAGGACAACTATGGGTCCCAAAACTGAATTATTTCAAAATAGCCGTAGAGAGGATTCTGGAATGTTCCCAACACAGAGAAAAGATAGATTCTACAGTGATGGATATGCCAGTTACTCTGATCTGATTACACACACTGGGTTCAATGTACTGAAATCTCATACTATACCCCATAAATATGTACAATAAGTATTGTCAATTAAAAATAAAACTATAATTTCAAAAGCTAGGCAAATTGGAATTTAAAGAAAAAGGAGTAGTAAAGAAATAATAAAGAATTAAAGTATTTCCTTAAAAATAGTAATACAAATTGATTATGACAGAGCTTTCATTACATGTAAACACTCTTAAGGCAATACATAATAGTACAAGAACAGCCATTTGTAGCCATTAATACATAATAAATGCACACATTAAAATGTGACACGAAGAGTATACAACAAAATTTCAAAATGCAAAAATAAGGACCAACTCTTAAGACAATTTTTTAATATTAGAACTTTTTCCAAAAAATCAAAATACCTGTTACACTGAAGAGGTTTAGATTCAAATGCTTTCTAATTTTAGAAGGGTATGGAGTCTACCAGATGCTGGAGTTGCTTATTCAACAAATACTCACTAAGTCCCACCATGTAACAGACAGTATATTAGGCTGTGGGAATTACAGTGTAAAAGACAGACATGGTCCCCAGTTGTAATGCTAACATTCAAATGAGAAGAACAAAATAAATAAGCAGAGTTGTAATCAAAATAATTACAGACTGTGGTAAAAGTGCTATAAAAAAAGTAATAGGATGCTGATACAGGGCATTAAAATTTAAAAACACACACCACACCACACACACCCCTCAGAAAAATACTAATTACACAAATTAAAAAGAACAACTTAGGTAGATAAAGGGAAAAATCTACTCTTCACAAAGGAACCAAACAAATTCAAATCCTGGCAACAGGAACAAGGAAACATGAGAACTGGATAACGTCAGGCTCCAACTGAAAAGCATATTGTAGCTGGGCAGGGTGACACAGGTCTTAATGTTAACACTGGGCAGGCTGAGCAGGAAAGTGCACACTCAAGGCCAGCCTGGGATACACAGCCGAGACCCTGTCTCAAACAAACAATAAAAGAGGGGGAGAAAGGAAGGGGAGGGAAGCATTACTAAAAGGCAAGAAGAAAACATACTCTGAAGAAACAAGGATCAGAACCAGGACCCAGGAGCTATCAGACAAAAAATTTTAAAAACAGCTATGATTAATATCTTTAAGGATAATAAAGGAACAAAGTGCAATAAACAGGAAAACAGTCACAAAATATGGTAGATACCAAATTCAACCGTATACGATAATCATTAGATGTGAATGGTCTAAAACAATTAAAAGTCTGTAAGAATGGATGAAACCAAAGTTCAAATATATTGTCTATGAGAAACCTACCATAAATCTAAAGATTTAAGCCACAACTTCTAAGTGAAATGAAAACAAAA